TGGTCCTGGAAGAACCCCCCAAAACCCACGGAAGGGGCAGCGTCCGTGTAGAAGCGGAGACCTGTAGGGGCAAAGAGACATATCGGAGAGGGCCATTGATGTTGCAGGCGCCCTTACGCTTAGAATCTTGGGTTGGAGATTAGATAATCAGGATAGTAGGATAGGTCGGGAAAAGCCGTGTCTCGGACCGCATTGAAGGTTGAGTGAGCAGTAGTGAAACGCTTACGCAGAGAAGCCATAGAAGGAGAGCAGGAAGATGCTGCGAGGAGGGCAGACATGTACTTGGAAGATGAGCCGGAGTTCAGTGCCGCTCAGAGCTGCTGCAGGATGGGCAGCATGATGGGGAGCCTGCGATCAGAAGAGTGAAGAATACAGGTATGGATGCCTTTGAGTAGGAGTTTGATTGACAGCTCAGCGCAGCTACTCGGCCAGCTGCATCTGATAGAATCAGAAGATTAAGTAGATTAAGTAGAGAGATGAAGCATGACCGCCGAAGCGACCCTGAGAGCACAGGTGCGAGTTCAGCGCAGCGCGGCATCCTCAGCCGGGCTGCATCCATTAGAAGCAGGATAAGCTTCTGAGAGAGTGGGTTGCAGCAGTAGCAGTAGCAGCTGCAGCAGCAGCGGCAGCATGAAGCAGCAGCAGTATCCTTAGACAATAACAGTTGTAGCTGTTTAGTGTTTCAGTAAAAGAGATGTAAAGTGAAGAGAGATGTCAAAGTAAATGAAGCAGCAGCAGCGCAGCAGCAATAGCAGTAGCAGCAGCAGCAGTAGCAGTAGAAGCAGCAGAAGTAGCAGCAGCAGCAGCAGCAGTAGCAGTAGCAGCAGCAGAAGCAGCAGCAGCAGCAGTAGCAGTAGCAGCAGCAGCAGTAGCAGTAGAAGCAGCAGAAGCAGCATTAGCAGCAGCAGCACGACAATGCGATTCATTCGAACAGACGTGTCACGCCAGCGTGCGCCGCTTGTCTCCGTGAGCCAGGTTACATACGTGTCTGAAAGAGCCGAGCCGTAGAGACAGGTGCAGCCTGGGAGCCCGCGGAGCGGCAGCGGCAGGAACAGCAGCAGCGGCACATGTAGTAGTAGGAGCAGCAGGAGCAGGCAGCAGGAACAGGCATCAGCGGGAACAGGCATCAGTAGGAACGGGGAGCAGGCATCAGTAGGAGCAGCAGGAACACGCAGCAGCAGGAGCGGCAGCAGGAACAGCAGTAGCAAGAACAGGCAGCAGTAGGAGCAGGCGGCAGCAGGAACAGACATCAGTAGGAGCAGCAGGGACTGGCAGCAGCAGCGGTCAGAGAACCGTGCCCATGGTTGTTTAAGAGCCTCAGGAAATAAATTAACCTGAATCCGAACATTCCCATGCGAATAACAGATGTCTCCTGGAGCCATCTTGCTGCTTTGGTTATGGCAGATACGCATGAACGATCACTTTTCCACACGTTCATTAGCTCCAACACCACTTCACACTCATTGCAGATTCACATTGGGCCCTTTTTCTTTCTGCTGCACTTTCAAAATGCAACAACTGCAGTTTAGTTACCTAATAATTTAATACTAGTGACCTAGCTATTTAAATGCATGGCCCCTCCATTATCCCTCAGATAAACTAATTTAAATACATTTCATTTAACAGTAGTGACCTGCGAATAATAAGATTATGCTGCAAAGATGGCGCCGTGGCAAGAGCTCTGGTGTGTGCCGTCTGGGGCACGCTGGGGTAGTCTTGCAATTTTTCCAACGTGGTTTTACTGCAAGTGGCAGAATATGAATCTGAATTAATGCACATTGCTCCTCTTATATCCCTCGGACAATAGAGATTATTGCCATTTAATATGCATTGCCCCTCAGTTAGCTCAAACACGTGAAAACGGAGCCCGCAGACCAAGCACGGGGCGAAAACTGACGCCTGCAGTCCAGTGCGCAGGGAATAATCCGTCCGCAGGCCAGCAACTCACCACCGCATATGCCAGAAGACGTGGGAAAGCAACGGGACAACGCGGCACCGGCAATCGGAGGCAGGGACACGCACGGCACCTCCAGAAAGTCTGCACGCAGCAGCAGACCACAAGGAACGAGCAACATAGAGCCCGCGGAGGGGCCCCGCGGAGCAGCCCGCAGAAAGAGCCCGCAGAGGAGGAGAGCGGCAGAGACACAGCAGGTGCAGGGACGCGGAGGAGGAGCAGACCACAAGCAGCCAGACTGAGGACAGCCGGGTCACGCGCACGAGCAACACGTGAGCAGAAGCGACCCCTCCAGAACCACGCATGCATTTGCGAACAGGTGCGTTAGCGACATGCACCTTGCAGACTTCAGAAGCCGGGAAGTGGGCGTCTCCGGCTTTTAACTTGCTGTCCTGGTGGTTATTGGTTGACTGGATGTGGGCGTTGCTGGTATTGATGAGTCGAGGAAGAGCAGCCTGTGGCCTGGGCAGCAGGAGCCGGGTCTACCACAGTGAACTTTCGCGAAAGCTCCATTTTCAACTGATTTTCTAGGCATCAATTTGATGTCAGTGTCGTCACCAACTTCTAAATGAATAAATACAGATACAGAACATGAGTAGATTCTACAGTGCCTTGCGAAAGTATTCGGCCCCCTTGAACCTTTCACATTTCGCCACATTTCAGGCTTCAAACATAAAGATATAAAAAATATTTTTTTGTCAAGAATCAACAACAAGTGGGACACAATCGTGAAGTGGAACAACATTTATTGGATAATTTAAACTTTTTTAACAAATAAAAAACTGAAAAGTGGGGCGGGCAATATTATTCGGCCCCCTTGCGCTAATATTTTGTAGCGCCACCTTTTGCTGCAATTACAGCTGCAAGTCGCTTGGGGTATGTCTCTCTCAGTTTTGCACATCGAGAGACTGGAATTCTTGCCCATTCTTCCTTGCAAAACAGCTAGAGCTCAGTGAGGTTGGATGGAGAGCGTTTGTGAACAGCAGTCTTCAGCTCTTTCCACAGATTCTCGATTGGATTCAGGTCTGGACTTTGACTTGGCCATTCTAACACCTGGATACGTCTATTTGTGAACCATTCCATTGTAGATTTGGCTTTATGTTTTGGATCATTGTCCTGTTGGAAGATACATCTCCGTCCCAGTCTCAGGTCTTTTGCAGACTCCAACAGGTTTTCTTCCAGAATGGTCCTGTATTTGGCTCCATCCATCTTCCCATCAATTTTAGCCATCTTCCCTGTCCCTGCTGAAGAAAAGCAGGCCCAAAGCATGATGCTGCCACCACCATGTTTGACAGTGGGGATGGTGTGTTCAGGGTGATGAGCTGTGTTGCTTTTACGCCAAACATATCGTTTTGCATTGTGGCCAAAAAGTTCGATTTTGGTTTCATCTGACCAGAGCACCTTCTTCCACATGTTTGGTGTGTCTCCCAGGTGGCTTGTGACAAACTTTAAACAAGACTTTTTATGGATATCTTTGAGAAATGGCTTTCTTCTTGCCACTCTTCCATAAAGGCCAGATTTGTGCAGTGCACGACTGATTGTTGTCCTATGGACAGACTGTCCCACCTCAGCTGTAGTTATCTGCAGTTCATCCAGAGTGATCATGGGCCTCTTGGCTGCATCTCTGATCAGTCTTCTCCTTGTTTGAGATGAAAGTTTGGACGGCCGGGTCTTGGTAGATTTGCAGTGGTCTGATACTCCTTCCATTTCAATATAATTGCTTGCACAGTGCTCCTTGAGATGTTTAAAGCTTGGGAAATCTTTTGTATCCAAATCCGGCTTTAAACTTCTCCACAACAGTATCTCGGACCTGCCTGGTGTGTTCCTTTGTCTTCATGGTTCTCTCTGCGCTTTAAACAGAACCCTGAGACTATCAAAGAGCAGGTGCATTTATACGGAGACTTGATCACACACAGGTGCATTCTATTTATCATCATCAGTCATTTAGGACAACATTGGATCATTCAAAGATCCTCACTGAACTTCTGGACTGAGTTTGCTGCACTGAAAGTAAAGGGGCCAAATAATATTGCACGCCCCACTTGTCAGTTTTTTATTTGTTAAAAAAGTTTAAATTATCCAATACATTTCGTTCCATTTCACAATTGTGTCCCACTTGTTGATTCATGACAAAAAATTTAAATTTTATATCTTTATGTTTGAAGCCTGAAATGTGGCGAAATGTTGAAAGGTTCAAGGGGGCCGAATACTTTTGCAAGGCACTGTATCTCCTCTGGGTTTTCCCAGGTCAGCTCTATTTACCACAGCGGACCAATGTTGCAAATCTATGTATGTATGTACACATGTATGTATATATGTAGTAATCTTTATTTATATACCGCCTTTTCACTGCAGACCAGAGTCACAAAGCGGTTTACAATTGTTATTTTTGGGCATTTGTCTCTCGCTCCACACAGAGATGGGAGCGGGGTCAGTACAGGAGGCGCATGCCAGACCTATTGTACATGTGTTCAGTGGTAGGGGAAAACGGAGTACCCGGATGAAACCCGGATGAAACCCCCACTCTCCTGCGGGCGGAGAGTGGGGGCAGGGCGGGCGCAAAGCGGGCAGAGAGCGGGCGGAGAGCAGGCGAGGGGCAGGGGAGGGTGGGGTTAGAGCAGGGGGTGGTCCACTAGGAGGCGTTCCTCAAGGGGGTATTGTCAGGGTTGTGTTGGTGTGTGCTCTCCCCCCTCCTTGCTGTGTCCTAGAGCTGGGCGGAGTGTCTGTAATCCTGGTCCTGCCCCTGGTCCTGCCCCTGGTCCTGCCCCTGGTTCAGCCTCTAACACCTCCAGCCCAGTCACTCTTTATCTATTGTCTGCATTTTTTTTATTTTTATTTGCCATCATTATAACACCCTGTGAGTCTCCATGTCCCTTTTTATTGCATCGAGTCAGCGTGGGGAGGAGAGCGGAGGCAGAGCCATAAACAACCCGGGCCTGGCTCACTGCGCAGGCTAATGAACTCCGAAAACAATAAACCTGTAAATCTGCAGTTTGCTGCTGAAGGAACAAATACACTCTACCGAGATACGTTTGATTGTAACGAGTCACAGAGCGCTGATGTAGAGAACCCTAGAGTCACAGAGAAGGCTGTAGAGAACCCTAGAGTCACAGAGAAGGCTGTAGAGAACCCTAGAGTCACAGAGAAGGATGTAGAGAACCACTGCGCAGACGTTGCTATGAACAGAAACGACCAGGCTCCTAATGCAAATTTCCTAGCCCCCCCAGCAGTGTACTTACTTCCTCTGCAAGATGTGAATGATGCACCAACATCATTCTGAAAATGGAAACTGAACCAAGAGCTTTACGAGGTTTCGTTTGGACGAACGAAGGTGTAGAATCCTCCTCTGTGTAGCGCTCGAAGCACACGTAGCTAGTTAGCCAAATGTACGTGTGGGAGCAGCAGGAGGTGGGGTCAGAGCAGCAGAGAATTCACATCTTTTCCCTCAGGGTGTGAAAGAGCTCCCCCTGCTGAGCATCTGAGCTGACCCACTCTGAGGCTGGATCTGAACACTTACGTTTTCACCTGGAACAGTCTCCGTATGAACGGGAGGTAGACTTAGGGCAAGGTCACAAAGGTTTTTACAAGCAAACTGGGCCAGGGGTGTGAAAATGGCCCGCGGTCACATGAACGTGTTCTCTGAACCGTGCCAGCGCAACTTTGCTGTAGTACGACGCCCGGACCAGCTGGTGGCGCTAATACTAACACCAGCAACGACCTCGTTGTCCTGGTTGAGTTTCCACTTCTTTTCCTGTTTACATTCTGCTACTGCAGCTAGCAGGCTCGAGCATGCATCGCGTTGTTTGCATCAGAGCATTGTGAACAAGTGTGAGATGTCTTTCCCCAAAATGTAGCGGTGGGACGTGTGTGTGCGTGTGTGTGTGTGTGTGTGTGTGCGTCTGTGTGTGTGTGCGTCTGTGTGTGCGTCTGTGTGTGTGTGCGGGAGCGCGCCTTTATATTAACGAGCTTAAAGCGCTGAGAATGAATCAATGAGAATGAAAGACAGAAAAGTGCGGCTGGAAAGGGTGCTCAGGCCCACGTCTTTAATCAAGCCTGGGCGCGGCTGCCGCGGTCACATTGAACCTAAGGCCCGGATCTTATGCCTAAACGGGCCCTGGGCCACTTAAACCGGGCTTTAGGCTGTTCATGTGACCGCAGCCTCAGACTCAGACTCAGACTCAGACCCAGACTCAGACTCAGACCCAGACCCAGACTCAGACTCAGACCCAGGCATATTATAAAACACAGCTTCTGTTCATAACCAGGAAGGACACACACATGTGGCAAATTATTAGAACAATTAGGATGATAGATAGCTCCAAAATATTGGTCTTAACTTTTAAACAATCTATTTTATTTTATTTTTTTAAAGACCAAACTCAAGAGAGAGACCAGAGAGATACCAGGGAGAGACCAGGGAGAGACCAGAGAGAAACCAGGGAGAGACCAAAGAGACCAGAAAGAGACCTGAGAAAAACCAGAGACCAGAAAGAGAGCAGAGAGGGACCAGAGAGATTGACCTGTCTCCGCTGGACCAGCAGATGGCAGCAGTGAGCTGATGGTGTGGAGCTGGAGCCTCTGGCCTCTTCCTCACACACTTCCTCTGTGTCTTGAGCAGATGGGGACGTGAGGGTCTTGAGCTCCGGGACTCGTTCTGGTCCTCCTCCTCCACATCTGTCTCCTCCTGCAGCCTGCCCCGGCCCTGCCTCAGCACGCCTCACCTAATGGCCTCATCTGTGGGGTTTCCTCCGTATGCCGCGGGGCAGAGCAGATGGCTTCTAACTTTAAATATAATGAAGGCCTCAGCATCCACACCAGGTCTGGCCCGAGGAGCCGGGACCAGCGGAGACTGATGTCGGCTGGTTTTAAAGCTGCTCTCATCTGGTTTTAGTTAATGAGGTTAAGGAGAGACCCGAGAGAGGCCAGAGAGAGACCAGAGAGAGACCAGAGAGAGACCAGAGAGAGACCAGAGAGAGACCAGAGAGAGACCAAAGAGAGACCAGAGAGAGAGACCAGAGAGAGAGACCAGAGAGAGACCAGAGAGAGACCAGAGAGACAGAGAGAGGCCAGAGAGAGACCAGAGAGAGACCAAAGAGAGACCAGAGAGAGACCACAGAGAGACCACAGAGAGACCAGAGAGAGACCAGACAGACCAGAGAGAGACCAAAGAGAGACCAGAGAGAGACAAGAGAGAGAGAGAGACAAGAGAGAGAGAGAGGCCAGAGAGAGAGAGACAAGAGAGAGAGAGACGAGAGAGAGAGAGACAAGAGAGAGAGAGAGACAAGAGAGAGAGAGAGACAAGAGAGAGAGAGAGACAAGAGAGAGAGAGAGAGGCCAGAGAGAGAGAGAGACAAGAGAGAGAGAGAGACAAGAGAGAGAAAGAGAGACAAGAGAGAGAGAGAGACAAGAGAGAGAGACAAGAGAGAGAGAGAGAGGCCAGAGAGAGAGAGAGACAAGAGAGACCGCTCAATTAATAAAGATGACGTATACATGCATCAAGAGTTCCAAGCTTCCGGCTCGACCGCACGGCATTGTGGGTAGTTGTGTCAAAAAGGTGGGCATCAAAGCTGTACTTTGGACATATTTGTCTGGTGTGGAGCTTCTGAATGTAGAGAAGGCCAAATACCTGGAGCACGTCATCAGGAGTGACCTCAGTGAGGACGATGACATTCAGAGGCAGTACTGTATGGACAGGCTAACACTGGAGCACGGAGATTTCACATGTGTACAGACACTCTGTATGATCTGATCAGCTAACATGTTAGCATAAGCTACATGTAGCTATGTCAGGACATCTAGTCAGTTGGTTGTGTTTACATCTAAAACCACAAGAAAAAAATCTATTGCTTTTTTGTTAAATGAAAAAATCTTTACCTTCCCTTTTCTGTTGCTGCCCCCAAACTGTGGAATAGTCTACCTCTGTCCATTAGAGCAGCTCCTTCATTGGAAGTTTTTAAGTCTAGTTTAAAGACACATTTTTACACCTTGGCTTTTAACACCAGTTGAGGTTTTACCACTTTACTTTTACATGTATGTGTATGTATTTTATACTGTTTTATTTTTATTTTTATCATTCGTGCCTGTGAAGCACTTTGGGCAGCTGGTGTTGTTGTAAATGTGCTATATAAATAAAGTTGACATTGACATTGACATTCCCTTAAAAATTTCTGAAATAGGTGATTTTTTAGCTATTAAAACAATGTATGGGCTGGAAACAAGAGAGAGAGATCACGTTCACAACATGTAATCCAATATGGCAGCGTGATTTGATGCCCACCTTTTTGAGAAAACTACCCACAATGCCGTGTGGTCGAGCATGTATATATTTTACTTATGAGTAAACAGGTTACTGAGGGTCTGCCGTTTGGTGAAATGAAGGAAGGACCCGGCTACAGCGCTGAAGAGCTTCAGGCTCTGTTCAGACGGAGACGCTGCGAAGAAATGAAACAACCAGGCTCTGGATTCAAAAAGCAGTGTCTACAGGACTGCGGAAAACCCTCCCTCTCCTCCTCTCCTCCTCTCTTCCTCTCGCTCCTCTCTTCCTCTCGCTCCTCTCTTCCTCTCGCTCCTCTCTTCCTCTCGCTCCTCCACCCTCCCTCCCCTCTCTCCTCCTCCCTCCTCCCTCCTCCCTCTCCAGCTCACAGATCCTCCCTCAGACAGACCTTCTGAACAATGGTTTTTTGCTGACGCGGTGGTTTCCTCTGCGCCTCCTCAGACCCACGGCCTCCTCCTTCCTCCTCGGCGTTACTCCCAGGAGGAGCTGCAGAGGATGCCGCGGGAAGCTGCTGACGGGGACATAACTCGCACGGCTCCTTGTTTACCATCTGCCCCGTGCTTCTCTCAATGGAGCCATAAAAAACAAATAGGAGGCTTTTAGAGAAATTGCCTCTGCTCCTGAGATTAATAACATCAGTGACGGGGAGCGAGGAGCGAGGAGGCGCAGGGGCCAGAGCGATGTGGGGAGATTAAAAGTGCCTGGTTTGTAAATTGGGATGATTCAGCGTGGGGTCCGGCCCTGTCACAGACACACCATTAGCCTCAGTGGATGGAGTGGAGCCAAGAGTCCTCTGCGGATCCGCCCAAAACAAGCCTGGTCTTACCACACCATTGTACTCATTTCATTTGTTACTAAGGTCTGGATTTGCTTCATTGACGCCGTTAACAGGTGGGAGGGGTTAACTCCTTTTGCAGATTGAAACCATTGGATCTGAGTTTACCGTGACGTATGTATGAGTGAGTTGCTAGCAGACACAGACAGGAGTATAAAGAGACAGTTATTAACGAGTAAAAGTGATAAATATAAAGTACATACTCCACAAGTGACTTATCCTTGAACCAAGTGCCATTAATTCTCCCATGATTCCATTCTTCTCTTGTCTCTTATCTTCGGGAACAGATCCTGTTTGACGTGTGCTTAACCTCGGCCTCTTCTTCTCTTTCTTTTATTCTTCTGTGCAGCCACCGAAGTTTCACCGAGGGACCAATAAAGGTTTATGGGAGTCCCAGGTTTGCTCCGTCAGACTAACGCTCTATGTCTCCTGTACACAGTCTACCCAGGGCCCGGGGGCTTCAGGTCGTCCCGGGGGCCCGAGGTCGTCCCGGCGGCCCTGACGTACAGCCGCACACACACACACAGCTGCAGCGGCTGTGATTTGTAGTCCACGACAAGGCCATTCCAGCCTGAGCCCGCCGAGACGTGAGCTATGGGCTTATTACGCTCTAAAGTATTTGTGGCCGTAGAAATGGAATCGATGGCAGAGGCGGCAGGAAAAGTCTGTGATTCATCTGCTAAATTTGGTTGTAGAATTAACCTCGTTTCATTTTTTAAGCAGGTATCTATTATTTGTAGCCTCCAAACCACCTTTAGTTTTAGCAAACAACCGCAGGAACACGCTTTGTCGCTGCGCGATGTGAGCTGTGTTACGGTGATGATTTTGATTGACGCTGAATGACTGGGACAAATTCTAACGTTATTAAAATATATTATAGGTCTTTTTTGTGTGGAAATCATCTTGCAGACCCCCCCAGGGTTCTCCGCGCACCCCACCGGGGGGTCAGGGGACCCCCACCCCTTTGGGAACCATAGACCTCTGTGGTTCTAAACTGTGGCTTACGATGCCTGGAATACCCGGTTCGATCGGGGCTATGGCTTTTATGTATTTATTGCATGTTATCACATACTATGACAGATTGCTCTAAAAACGGTTAAAGATGAAGGTCAAGACGTTTTTTGCGATTATAGCTTAATTGTAAAAATAATCATTTTAAGACACATGTACCCCAATTAAAAATTAATGTTAGTCTCTTTGTGATGTGGCGACTTTTACATGTTCGGAATAAATAAAAATGTAAAGGTGTTCTCCTCTTGAGCAAACCTGATGTTGATACGCTGAAGAAATAGTTCCAACATCCATTCATCCCACTCCTATTTTGAACTTCAATTGCTTATTATTTTGCATAAACGATGTATAATTTACATTGCTCTTTTATTTTGTTTTTGTTTTTTATCTCAAATGTCCAAAATAATAATAATAAAAAAACATTAAACCAAAACCCCCCCCCCCCCCCCCCCCCCCCCAGCATTCAGCATTAGCCGGGTCCATGCAAAATGTGAATGGAGTCGGACAAACAAACTGATAAAATATTCCCTGTGTTTGCTGTGGATTTGGTGTGAATCCGGCAACCTGAGTCAGGAGAGTGATGTGAGGAATACAAAATATTGACTGTGACTTGCAGTACCACACCTTTTGGCCGATTTTTTACATATGCTCCTTTAAGGGTCGCCGCAGAAGCTCCGCTGTGATTGGTCCCGTGATTTGTGTGTGTATTGGAAGGAAGCACCGGAGCGGCGTGCAGCAGGAGCATGGACGAGGCACTATGGAGCAGGAGCTTTGTGCTTTGAAGAAAAGCAGTTTTGGGCTCGAGCCTGATATACAGGAGACGTGTGGAACTATCTAACATATATATAAACAAATATTACTAACATATATATAACGTATATCTAAACATATATATTTTAAACACTGTATTGTATTACCACTATTATTGTTTTGCTGTTTGTGCTGAAAAGCTGTTTAATAACTAACTATGTTTCCAACAAGAACTGTTGTCGTTATTCACCGGCATTCACAGTTTTGAAATGACGTGATAAAATAATGAATCCACATAAACTATTGGGGTCAGGATTTAGCAGACAGAGTAATACTAACACTCATCACATAAAACATACAGTAGAAACAATCGCTTAAGGCCGTCCTGCACACTTAAACACTTCGTTCTTTTTCCCACTCACTGTAAACTACAGACTTAAAACATGGATTTCAAAAGGCTCTGACTTGTACATTTGCATTGTAACAACATAAATAACATTTTAATTAGAGTATTCAAAGTTTTCTTAATATTTAAAACCCGAAATCAGGTAGGAGTGTAAAACGTGCACCACTCCTCAGCGCTAGACAAAGACTGATGCGAGGCGCTGGCGCAGACTGATGGAGGCTGCTTCTGATTCTTTTATGGCGGGCTAAGAATCAATATTGCAGTATACTGGCCACCTAACTAATGGAGTGTTATACCTCCAATGCCTTTGGACCAATGTTACAGTTATTTATCATTTTTTGTTGAAGTTCGAAAATTAAAATAATGCTCTTCTTGATTAACCCCTCTCCCAAAATCAGAGCCCGTCCTAAGGGCTGTCGACTGTGCCGTCGTCGCACCAGGGCTCCTCGCACCACACAGGGGCCTGCAATCTTTATCCTTTATTTTATTTTTATAAAATACACTAGTTCAAGGTCCCCCAAAGGGCAGCTGGACTGCACTCATTGGAACCCTCTAACCCTTTCTCAGGACCCTCTTTGATTTCGTTTGATCAAAAAGAACATTTTTACAAGTTAAAGTCAAATTTTCCACCAAAGCGATTTTGTAAACAGGCAGGCCGCGGGCGAGGCTATTGTATGCAAACGGGTCCTCCGAAAAACTGTCAGATAACTTAAGCAGTGTCTGAGTGAAGATAAAAGAAGTAACGGAATGATTGCCAGTGTAGGACGAGACTGGTACTCGCGGAGGAGGAGCGTGAGACAGGTGTGGGCAGAGGAGCAGACCCCTTTGTGTGAGCAGAGGAGCGAGGAGGAGGAGGAGGAGGAGGAGCAGTTGATACAGGTAGTGTGAGCAGCAGGAGCCAGACCCTTTGTGGTGAGCAGAGGAGGAGGAAGGAGGAGGAGGAGGAGAGCAGTGATAACAGGTGTGAGCAGAGGAGCAGACCCTTTGTCGTGAGCAGAGGAGAGGAGGAGGTTCAGCGGTTGTGGACAGGTGTAGTGAGCGCTGCATATTGCCAATGTTTAGTCGAATATCACATCAAAAACATATTTTTTAAAAGCATTAGCAAACACACTGTATGTCTAGCTTTAAGCCTAGCTGGAGTTGTTTATGTTGTGGACAGAGTGTGTGGATGGAGGAGGTGAAGAGTATTTTGTTGTTGTCAGTGTTTGGAGGAGGCGGAGTGTATGTTGTCAGAGTGTGTGGAGGCATGGCAAAACAACGTTATTTGATGAGAAAAATACTAATATTGATCCGGCATAGCCATTTTGGCGCATTTTGCCCCAAATCTAACTATTATGAAGAAAAAAGATCCTTTTGGTTCATCTTTTGAGTTGCTCTCCCAATTTGCCACAGGACGACAAGAGACATGTCAGCTAAAAGACCGCGACCAATATTGCACGTAGAGTGTGTAGGGCGTCTGTGTGTACGTGCGCGCGCCAAACGCGGAATAGGGAGCGAGACACTCGGTTACGCGCGTGCTGATTCGTCAAGCACGCTCGCAGGTGGTGCTGAATTCATGTCAAAGATTATAACGGAAAAACTTTCCTCAGATCTGGGAAAAAAGTGTCAGGGAGGGCTGCGTTTCGAGTTCGCACAGGGCCTCGCTCCCCCCTTGGGAGGGCCTGCCAAAATACCTCCATGCTCCACTACTGAAGGAAGGCTTGGGCGCAGCGACGGAAACGAGCAGGGTCTGTCTGGGGCTTGCAGTAGGAGGCGTGTGAGTAGTAGGCGTGTCGGGTAGTGACGTCACTACCCTCGAACGCCTCACTACATGAATTATTTGAATCCCACTTGAACTTCTGCAGTATATCCCCGTGAAGAGAAGACCAGGGCAGGACCGTACGCATAACAGTAAGTGTCAACCAACAACGTGTTTTATTTATTTTTAGGCGCGTCCCTCCAGTTACAGTGTATTAATGAATAAATGACTTCACCTGACTAGAATGGTTTTGTAAGAAGGTGAACTAATACATTGCAGAGAAAGCAATTTGTTATGGGTTTCTTCTAAGAGTCCATGTGCCAGTCGACATGTCCAGGGCTAATAGTTAAATAGGTAATAGTATAATATATCACAATATAATATTGCCCAAGTCATTTGATTCGTTAAAAATGGTAATAAGGAGAAAACTCCAGTGCTAGGCAATAAGCAGGGGAACACATAGTTTAGGCTCATTTGTGTTTTTCGTGTGTAATGTCTGCTGTTTCCGATTTGTAAACAGTGCTGAAGCAGGGGGCGGAGTTTTAAAACAGCGGAGAAGGCACAAATGCTCACACAGTGCAAACAACCATGAAAGGGCATCTGTTTGTCATGGAGGTATGTTTTAACTTCGAATCCAGGTGTTGTGCAATATTGTAAATTTGTTTCTTTAAAGTGATTGTCTAGAGGTTTGTCAGAAAGAGCGACAGAGATGGTACTTGATTTGAAAAAAAAACTACCCAAGCTCCCTCCGACCTTCCTTTCTGAATGGTCTACACGCTCTTACCGGAAGTATAGCATGATTTATATAAT